GCACTATCGCTAGCACTCGATCCTGACGACTGCAAGAAAGACGCTCTACGGTTCAACTGCATGAAGTTCACAAGCTCATTGCCACGTTCGGGTAGAGTCTCGCCATATCGGTACTCTTGACGAGTGGTATACTGAGCAACGAAGTCAGATCCAGTGTTGATACTGCAGTCTCCGACTCGATCGAGGGACTGCAGTCTTTGGTCGGTTGACGGCATGAGAGAGCCAAGCTCGATAGCAAAGGAGCGACCCAAAGAAATGTGGCCATATGCTCCTTCGTCGTCGAACTCGGACAAGTACGTCTGTAGAAGACCCTTGATGTCCAGGGGTGCTATGCTGATAACGCTCGAGACCCATTGTTTGGCTCTGCGATTCAGAACGTCCAAAGTATGGCGGCGGAATGTGTAATCGTCGGATAGCTCGACGGACACATCTCCGAGGCTGGAGGTGAATTTGGATCGTGGTGCGTACAGATCTGTCTCGGCTTCCAAGCAGCTGGACCACATCAGAGAAAGGAGTTCCAGCAAGGCGAAGAGCGACGATCTGTGGCAGAGGGCAGAAGGAACCTGAGTGATGATGCGGTCCGCACAAGTAAAAGCTGCTTGCTGAACTCGCTCGATCCGATGACAGCAGCCACAGAAGATGGCAACGAGCTGTGCGGCAGCATACTGAGCAGAGAAGGTGGCATCTGTACCGCCTAGAGTCTTTCGCAAATACTTGTCCACTACAGCGGCAGCAATGCCCTCCATGGTGCTGCTAACCTCACCTCTACGCATGCTAGGCTCCAAGAAGTACGAGAGAGCCTTGGTGCAATCTCCAGCATCCGCTCGGAGACTCTCAACCAAGTAAGCGGCGTGCAAGAAGATCACCTTGCGGTAACTTAGTCCCTTTATTTCTGGAGCCTTATTAGGAATCAACTCAGTGAGATGCCTCTTCTGCAGCGACTCTCTGTCGGAGCTCATGCCTCGGCGGAGGACGGTGTTAAGCTCGATGTCACTCTCAATCTGTTCCCCTCGCTGTTCAGCAACCAGAGGGGGCGAATGAACGGCCATGATTCGAAGCTCATCAAGATAGGTCTTGCCCATGTCGGTCTGCGTAGTGAAGCCGTGAACAACAATGTTGAACCATGCATCTCTGATCATTGAGTGAGACTCGTCATCAGTAATAGTGTTGAATGCCAGATCGTTGGTGGACATGAAGACGGCTAAGGGATGCAGCAGCTCCGCAATCTCTCGGGCAGCCAGCTGAACATCGGCCTCCTTAGTGTGATTCGACTGGTGAACGTCGCCCATAGAAATAATGCTCTCCAACAGGTGCTCCCAGTAAATGTCATAAAGGGGGGATCCACGGTGGAGGTTCGCCGAGATATATGTACGCGCCTTCATGACCTGCTGATTGTTAGATTTGGATAATGTGAATGACGATTAGTTAGGAGGCACTCACAGCAACCAGAAGAAAGTCCTTGTGGCCGACAACCCCAATGTGACAAATTCTAGAGAACACCTTCAACAGCGATCGGAACTCAAGCTGTCCGCCCTTCAACGCAAGAGCGGCAGCACCGCTCACAATTTGAGCATCGACACTGCTGTTGACCTTGTCGATTTTCTGAAGCAGCATAGACTGTGCCAAGGCTGTGATCTTCTCGTCATTGCAAGCAGTCGCAATACCACAGATGGCTTGGACGACGTTGCCATACACCATCGCGGTTTCTTCCTCACCGGTAATGGCCAGGGAAATACTGCTGCCAGTCGAATGGCGATTGGGGTATAGCGTAGCAGCAGCGTCCACGGCGAGGTCCCCATTGGTGCCGTTCGTCATGGATCTATCAGAGCCGGGGCTCAGAACGTTACCCAAGGTGTAAAGAGTTGTGATGACAGCGTCATGAGAAAGGAGCTGTAGAACAAAAGCCAGACTCTTGGACGCGACCGCAACAGTGCGAGCGTTGGGCGCACTCTGCACAATGAATCGAGGCAGCAGTCTACTGGCGGTCGCAGCGTATCCCCTGGAGATCTTGCAAACCAAAGCAATCGATCTCAAGACAGTTGCCGCCAGGTTTTCGTCCGCCATTTGGAGAGGGTCTGCAAGGGTCTCCTCCAGCCAATTAATCAAGACGTCGACGTCTGCGACATCCTCGTTCATGAGCGAGCAATTGAGATAGCTGATGAGAGCTGCCGATTTCACTGCAAACGCCAGTCTCTGCTGCCAAGAGGACCCAAGCTTGAGGTAGTCTTCACCGGCTTCGAGATAATTCATCTGGTCAACGGCTACCGTAGTGTACATGTCGAGGGACCGGTAGTCTGCATCTGGACTGCGTGGGGAACCTGGTCTGAACGCCCCATCGCCTGACATGAGCAAGTCGAGGATGTGGGTGCCGCGCAAGAGGGATGCGTCGGTGACCAAAAGCGAGGTGCCAGAGACAAGAAGCCACATGTAGCTTCTTTGGAGCAAGATGGCTCCCAGAGGTCGCCCAGCAGCAGAGTAGTGGCGCAAGTATCTCTTCCACTCTCTGGCATGGCGATCTGAGGACTGTGAGTTCCTGATGGTAGAAAAAGCCGTCTCGACAGCAACCAAGAACGACTCCGAAAGGATATCTCTGAATCGCTGAACCAGTGCCAGTCTGCCTCCAGCTCTCCAGAAGTCTGCTTGTGCCGATGCCGCATCAAGGAAACCAAGCAGCGAGACTGCAATCGTAGCTGTCCTGATAGCGTCCTCCAAGTTCGGGTCTTCGTCGTCCTGCTGAGGTGGAACAGTGTGATCCGCCGCATGATCGCAGGCATTGACAAATGCCCAGACATTGTCTGAAATCATCTCGTGCAGATCATCGTAGTGGGAGCCGAGGGACAGCAGCGCGGCCGTGACGTGGAATGCCAGTGCCTCCGTCGGTGATGGCTCAACCTTTCGGAAGAAGGGCGACGGAACAAACACCTGGACGTGGGCCTCGAGAACATAGGGGATCAATTGATGGGCAAGTTTCTGAGCGCTCTGGCTCGTCTGAATAGCGGGTGCGGCTTTGCATAGCGATAGGAGGACCTCGAATTCGCGGATTGTCTACAGAAATAGGGGGCTTGTTAGCCGTCGCTCACTACGAGACACAACGATACCCATCGCAAGAATTATGTTGAGAAGTGCACTACCATGGGACATCTCCCAAGAGACGACGAGTTCTGCTTCCCAGAGTAGCCATTGACACCCTTCCCAGCGGCTTGGGTTGCCTTGCACAATCGATCGAGATCAGAGCGGTCGAACGACGTACGCGAGCTGGCAGCAGAGAGCGACGCGATCTTCTCCAGCGCCCGCTGCCGAATGTCGCGGGTCATCTTGGGGGAGTTCGTAGGGCTCTAGACCCCGAGGTGAAAGATTTGGTCGATATTTCAAGTAATCTGGTGTTTTCGTGATTTATTGAAGCATTTCACGATGCGGGAGTTTTCCTTGGAATTCGCGTCTATTTGCTGGCAGCTGCACAGTGACGATACCTTGTCTTTAGTGGTATCTCCAAGCCTCCCCCAAATTTCCCATCTGAGAGCAGCCACATCCCTGCACAGCTCCTGCCATTCCTGAGCTGTTCTGTCTTAGTCATCAGGTGAGCTAGCTACCCCTGCCAACCACCACCACCCACCAAGCAAGGCTGCCAGCTTGACGCGTGCACCGGAGCACTCAGCAGTAGCAGCCTTGAACCTCAATCAAAGCGACGACGTCCCATCAACCCAACCCCACCAACGAACGAACCTCATCGAATTGACGATAACCACCCTTTTGACGACCGGCATATCCATCACGAACGATAACGAATAATCTTCATTTCCCTTCAGATACCGCAATCATGGCTATGTTCAGCCAAAATCCCCTGATGAACGGGCCCAACTACTCCTTCTCCGAGGCCCCCAAGACCGCCAACGGCGAGTTCAGACAGCACCGCTTCAACCCGTACGGAGCTCCTCTCCACCCTCTCATCATACCCAAAAGCTAACCTACCCTGTGCTACAGCTACACGGACAACGGCGGTTCGACCCTCGCCATCGCCGGCGCCGACTTCGCCATCGTAGCCGGCGACACCCGTAGCACTTCCGGATACAGCATCAACTCCAGATACACACCCAAGGTCTTCAAGATCGGCGGCACCACCTCAACACAAGAAGATGCGACAATCATGCTCTCCGTCGTCGGTTTCGCTGCCGATGGCGAGGCCCTCAAGGACCGCCTCGATACCATCTGCAAGATCTACCGCTACCGCCACGGCAAGCCCATGAGCGTCACAGCCTGCGCGAAGCGTCTCTCGACGATCCTCTACCAGAAGCGCTTCTTCCCCTACTACGTCTACGCCATCCTCGGCGGCCTCGACGAGGAGGGCGTCGGCGCCGTCTTCTCCTACGACCCCGTCGGCAGTTACGAGAGAGAGCAGTCCCGCGCCGGCGGTGCCGCCGCCAGTTTGATCACACCGTTCCTCGACAACCAGGTCAACTTCAAGAACCAGTACGTGCCGGGCAGCGGTGTGGGTCACGAGCTGCAGGAGCGTCCCCGCGTTCCCCTGGAGCGCAAGGAGGCCGAGATTCTGGTCAAGGATGCGTTTGACGGAGCGGTCGAGAGACACATTGAGGTCGGTGACCACCTGCAAATGATGGTCATCACCAAGAACGGCATCGAGGAGGTCCTTCTCCCCTTGAAGAAGGATTAAAGATATGACGGGATTCTGGGAAAGTGTTGCGATTTGGGGGGGGGGGGGGGTGTTGTACAATACAGACAGGTAGCAATGCCAAAGAGGCACTTGTTCAGCTGATCAATCATTGTACGCGGTTCAAATTTCAGCCCGCGTGTTCACAGCAAACCAAAGTTCCTTTTGCAACTCGTGCGGGCGGTTCCCCTGTGAATCCCATGCTGCGAGGCCATCTGGAAAATCTGGTAGGTCGCTCGCTCTGCCCCGGAACAAGCATGGGGGAAATAGAGGAATGCAGGCAGGGATATCTCATTTCGTCTCGCAGGACGCATCGGCTACCCAGGACGAACCGATGGTCTTTGACCCCTTTTCTGCTGCATGTGATGCCACACAGCTGGGCGGTATGCAATAGGCCATAGTCCAAGGGGGAGGAAGTCTAATAGGGACGAGTACGAATACGGAATGAATGGATCGGATGCTTCAATGTTCGAAATCCCCCCTTCCGAGAGCTCTCCTCCATTACCGCTTGACATTGGGTGATATCTGGTGCTTTACTTTGCAAGACTTGCGTTCCTGGCACCAGCGAATCAGACGTAGTAAGTCCGCTTGGCTTTTCCGCGGTACATAGTGTTATTAGGCGTGTGGCATTCTCCATCTCTCTCTCTCTCTCTCTCTCTCTCTCTCTCTCGCACTGCCATCCATACTTGGTAAGCTGGTCGTCTCGAGGAAAGCGAGCCCTTCCAAACGGGACTGTGACAGGCACCACCAGGCTCCAGGTTCCAGATCCAAGTCCAGGTGCAGGTTCCAGAAACGGCACTAAGCGCAGCAAGCGAGGGGCGGGCAGAAAGGAAGGGAAGGACATCGCGGACGGGTATTGGACGTTGGACAGCCCGTTCCTGTCAGACTACGGGTACGGGCTGGACCGAGTTAGCGAGGGCACGATGCACGAAAGCACGGAGGCTCTTTGGGAGAGGATCGCGGACGAGTACCTTTGGAGCAAAGTGGCAAAGTCCCGCGTACTCGGCGCCCGCCCCGTTTGGGATAACCGCCTGGTAGGGCCTGGCTTTGCCTCTGTCTGGCTGTCATCTAGGTATCTACGCTATGGGTGTGCCTCTCTAGAGAGAGCACAGCCTCGCCATGGGAAGCCGGCTAGAGCCCCTTCCTCCAACCTGTGTGATCCGGGATATCGGTAGCGAAACGGTCTTAGACGCCCGAGGAAGCTAGGTATCACGGGGCAGCGGTAGGTCCGAGTCAATCGTATCAAAGGGGCCTCCTGGAGATTCTAGAGATTGGAGCTTTTGCCAAGGGGTTAGATGAACCAAAACCGCGAGCACCGAATAGCTTGGCGGGTGATGCTGAATAGTGACGGACACGCCTTTCATCGGGAAGCTGTTGTACGGGGTATCATTGGTAGCTTGAACGAAGCAAGACTGCAGCTTTCAATCCCCCCCGGCCTCACGACCAGCTGACCCGCGCCGGGGCTGGCGGGGAGGCCATCCGAGCAGATGAGCTCTCTACATTTTCTTGCCTGTCATTGCCACAATTGTACGATACAAGGTTATTGGAGTCTCAAGCTACTTTACTGTACGACTGTACAGTACTACGGGACCGCCTAGGGCTGGAAGGCGGGCTACTGACAGCTAACGTCGAACAACTGATTCGTAATCTAGCATAAGCTTCTCCTCTTCAGACGCAATGCCCCAGAGAGTTTCGAGATGCGATCGTCGTCGGAAGCTTACTCTCCAAAGGTCTCCTCATAACCCCACCACCACCACCACCACTACCTACAAAGCCACCAGGCACCGCCGAAAATCTCAGCTTCCAACAAAACGGGTGGTCTGTTTGCCACTGGAGACGTATGCTGATCCTCCGGTGGTAAAGAAGGGACGGACCATGTGCCAGTACGTCGCAGGCCTGAAGAGCTGAACCCTTGTTGCATTGCCGATGAGCATTGCAGGGAATCTTTCGTCTTGATACGACTTGGACAGGCTTGAGCTTGAAAAGAGGCGTGTCAACCCAAGACGGGAAAAAAGCATCTTATCTTCGGTCCATGCCGATTGTGGAGAGGATGCCGATACGACGGTATTCGAGAGGTATTTGGTTAGTTCTCGGCAGATCAGGGGATTTGCCATCTCGAGAATAGCCATTACCCGGGATTACGTCAGGCACACTGCAATTTCTAGTTGAGATGAGTTTATATGGAAACATCAAATGGTCGTTGTAAATCGTCGTCAATCGTCGTCAGACGTGCATGGGATGTACAGATAATCGTTGCGTATTTGGGCTAGACGTGGCTGATGTTGCATCTGCTGTGTGGCTTGTAACAGCAAGGGTCGTTGATGTGGTTGCACACACTTGCATCATCGTCCAGGGCCTCGGAGACAGCTCCTCCAACGAAATCAAGTCTGCTACTGCGCAGCCGGGGAGTCTCAAGTTTGCTAGGCGCTAGGCTGGTAGACATGGACCACCTGGCGAACGACATCGCACACAATCCTCTGAAGCGACAGATTGTGCGTCGCCACCGCGGCGCACGGTCGAGACCAAGTCAGATGGCGATGCACAGAACTGCCAAAGTCGTTAATCCAAGTCGAAGTCCAGTGACAAGTGCAGAACTCAATGGCTTTAGACGACAGCCTCTGTAGCTCGGGCATTTTGAACCGAACAAGCACTGACGCTGAAAGCTGTCGGCCCGACTGCACTAAGCGGAATATGGTTCTGGTTGCGAAGAAACGAGGCTGCGACTTTTGAAGTAGAAGACCGCAATTGCGTGTCCTGCGTCCGAGGGTCAAATTATATGTCAAGGCGATGTCACCTGTATGTTGTTGTCTCGAATAGCTGCTTCTCTCCATGCAGCCGCGGCGACTGGCCAAGCGTCCAAGTGCCTCACTTACCATATCAGCGAGAGGGAGTGCTGAGTTTGAGCCGCCTTGTCACCAGCGACTTTGGCTGATCATCGTTTGAGGCTGCTCTGTGTTGTCATCGACATGGGATATGCCGCTGCACCGTCTTCGAGTGACGGATTTCAAACCAACCACTGGCGCCTCTCCAACAAGTTGATGAGGTAATGCGGCGCCAAGATGATTGCGGAACGTAGCGACTTCATTACCGGTAGTCTCTCGGTCGAATGCCGTTCTCCTTTCATGTGCACCGGGCCACTGTAGACTGCATTAGCTAACTCATTTGTGTCCCGTAACGGCAGACTAGCCGCGGAGAAAGCTGCCAGACCAGCCTTAGCGGCTGAAGACAAGGCGCCGTGCCGTGACGGCGAGGTACCATGTATCTGTGCGACCGGGCGTCTGGCGCCCTTGGTGCTGGTCGTCAATGAAGCTGTGAGCCGGCCAGGCCTTCGAATGTCTGATGCGCTCGGCAATGTGGGCGTTTTCTTCTCAAGGCATCAATGGCTCGCGCAAGTACACCTGAAGTGCCTGGCTATCAGTAGAACGCCGTATCATGTCCGGGTAGGTTATTGACCATGGCACGCCGCACGCATGGCACTTCGGGTGGCATGTTTCCGGGGTCGGGGTGCAAAAAGAACCCTCAATTGTACTGCTTCGACGGGTTCTAGCCATGCGTGCCATGATCTCACCCCCGGATCATAATGTGGTAGCAGTGACGATTCTCGGAGGATGCGTGCCACATGCAACGCAGATCTCGGTGCGGATGGGGTAAAGGATCGGCGCCGGTCAAGCTGGAGCCTTGGTCAGTTGTGGCGAAACTCCGACCGGCAAGCCGCAATACTCGGCCGCGCGGTGTCTCTGGCGTCAAACGGCAGTTTGGCATGCTCGCATCCTTGGACGGCGTGCGCCGTGGATATTTTCTGCTTTGTTTTTGCTCATTTCCACCTCCGGCGGCCCCGATTTCCTGGTAAACCCTTTCGAAGCATATTGCGATGATCCGGTGGATGATTGGATCTCGGCCAAGTAGTCACAGATGTAAGTGCAGGTTGTGTACAATATACAAGTAGCGACTTGGCCCGGAGAGGAACTTCCGGCTGTCACAAGTCTGGATAGCTGCACTAGAGTTGCCACGATTGATTGGACCCAGATGGTTGCGGTGGACGGGTAAGGGTCCTGCTGCTCAGGCACAGGGTTCGGGCGATGACTCGGGCTGTCGGGGTTGGCGCCGGAGAGGTATCTCGAAGTGAAAGCAACGATGAGATTGGACAATTGCTTGACGGGTGACTGGCTGCGAGCACCGTAAGAAAGCTTCCCAACAAGCTTGAGACAGGCCTTTTTGCCACAAGCATTCGAGATGGTTGCGGGAGAAGCAAAAATGCAGCCGCTGCAGGCTTTCGGCTTGCCAGTTGGCGTCAATGAAGGGATCAGGCCTGCTAGAGAGGAGAGGAGGAGACCTTCAAGGGCAGTGGGGGGGAGGGGGACGCAATGCAAGTGGAGGTCTGAAAAAAATCGAAAAGTTTGGAGAATCCCATGTTGACGGTGCCGTCAAAATTTGGCGCGGCGGCTTTGGATAGTCGTGGTTGCAAGAGATTTCGGGTAAGGAGACCGGGGGGGGGGGGTGAGTACCTTTACGAGTACATCCGCAGGTACCTGCTCTGTACGGTACAAGGCACGTATCCAAAGTTCCCTACCTTACCTATGAGGTAAGTAGTCTTCAATGTCACAGCAAGCAGACTGGAGCAATAATTCAAGGAGGAAGGAGCGGAGAGACATGAGGCGAGGCAGGCGAGGCGAGACAAATAATAGTTGGAACCGGGAGGAAAGGAGGAACAAGGCAAAAAAGCAGGGACAAACTTGGCCAACTCAGCTTACCTACTACCTAGGGAAACTGCCTATCCGTAAGGTGAGGTAGCCAAGACAATGCAATCAAGCGCAGATGGCCCCCAAACTCAAAGGGATCCCCCTATCTGTGAACGCGACCTTATTCCCATCTGGTCCAATAGAATACCCAATCGTACATCGAGTTGTTGGACCCTGAAAACCACTTGTGAAGCTGACTCCATGTCAAGCAAGGCTAGAGAGAAAGAGAGAGAGAGACAGAGATACCTTACGTCTCGGAGGGTGAACTCGCAGTTCGCAAATTGGCATTACTCGGCGACACTCCGGCAAGAGACCGAGCTCCTCAAGACAGAGTTTTTCCAATGCTCCAAGTCTCCATCTCATGGAGTCATGATGCTTGGACCCTTGGAGTGGAAGGTGGAAGGGGAACAAGAACCGGCGGAGATGGATTTGCACACTTGCATCAAATGTCACCGTGCAGTTCTTTCCTTGGCCTTGAACCCTCCAAGTTGGAGCGTAGGACAGAATAGCGGGGATGGGTGGGGTTCTATCCAGACCGATTTCCCACTGTAGGCGAGGCGACAGATGCGCATTGTGGTCGGTGTCGGATCAGTCACCATCACCTCAGACTTCACTGTGAAAGCTTCCCGTTTCCGCCGCGGACCCTGTCCGCAACTCCAGCCTCCTCCTCATCTCACTTCTCCACCACTCCCCCCTTCCACTTGGGATGTCCACACTTCGGCTTCCGTCCAAACCGCCAAATCGCTCAGACATACGACTGCCGCCGGCTCACTATGGCATCCGACCGCGTCAAGCACGCTGACAAGTGACAGTGGACTGGACGTGGGGTGAACCGCGCGGTCTCCATACTACCTACCACCACCAGCACATACAATCGCGATTCGCGATTGAATCACGGCTACTGGTCAGCGGCACAAACGCCGTGCCCCATATTGCTGCAAATCTTTACTCCAAGACTCCAACGTCTCGATGATCTCGTTACTCCCGACTCGTCGCACACTCTCCGGCGCGATGGAGTTGTCTGGTCCCCCAATTCCTCCATCGTTGTCCCTCGCTGGCACTGTATGAGTCGAGTCCACTTGTTCATTTACAATACTCCGACGACTCAACGTCTCCAACTGAGGCATACTCGGCCTACCTAGTCCTCGATGGCCACTTCCAGCCTTCCACTCGATACTCCAGCTCCTGCGTTGGCCCAGTCCTCGCGTATTCCGCTTCCTCTCTTCTCTTCATCTATCAAGCTTTCGTAGCATGGCTTTCATCAACGATTGTGATATTCGACACTGTTCATCGATGTTTGTACCACCTTTGCCCCAAGCACGTGGATTCGGACGCTCGGCCAGCTTGTCTAGCTTGTCTTATTACAATTTACTACTGCCGTTGGCGAGCCCGAGAAACAACTTGGGGGCTGTGGAATGATCAGACCACCGATGGGCCGAGGGCCCGCGGTGACCTACAGGCCTCTCTTGCCTGGAGATCATCCGGATGAGCATGTTACAACTTACGGGCTGTCTGGGTAAGGGGAGAATGGTCTAGACCACCGGTCTCCCCGCACAATGGCTCCCTCATGCGGCTCACAGCCAACCCAACTCGTGCTGCAATTTGAGCCTCTCACAGTCTTAGCGCGACGCTTCCCAAGTCTGATTCCCTTTGTTACTGGATGAGCCTGCAGCCTGGGGCATTGGACGGGAGGAGTGCGGATTTCTCGATGCAGCCCTCGATCCACAGCGGATGAAGGAATCTGCCAGACATCTCAACCTCTTTCACGCCCTTGTCCTCGACCACTCCTATGTTTCGCGCTGGCAGTTTTAAGGCGTCTGCGTTTCCGACAACCGACTGATGCCTGGACACACTACAGCAAGGCCTTGGCTGAAAAGGGATGATGTTCCGGCACCGATGGAAGAGACTGGCCTGCGATGCTTCAGGGCAGATTCCTGCAAGCGCGGCACCGAACATACCTCAAAGATGGAAGGATTACTGAATTTGCTGGGACTGGTATGGTCATATACGTCATGACTTTCCAAAGGCGCGATGGCGAATTTCGGCGAGCCGTTGACTCTGGGTAAACGACCACTGAGCCAGTAGGCCTCACAGGCCTTATTACAAATTGCCATGCTGTGAGGCAGAAATGAGACATAAGACTATCCTCCAAGCCTCATACCGATGTAGCTTGGTTAGATGGGATGGGTCTCGCCAACACAAATGCTGTACGGATGCATAGGCATGTTAGGCGCACGTTTTCTCGAGCCACTCCACCGCCGATGCTGGATAGCTCACTCTCAGGATTACCTACACCTACCTGCTATTGGCCTCGGAAGCGCATAGCCGCCCCCAGATCACCAGTTGAGCACGTTGCTGTTACCCGAACTCAAGTCAGGTAGATGCGAGGGTGAGGTTACGGCAAAATAAAGCTCAAACCCAATTGGGCAAAGCTGGAGATGTACTACGTAGGGCGAAGTTGGAGGGCTGGACCGGGAGATGCGGTTGTGAGCTCCAGTAACAGCAGCCCGATGCTTCCTTTTTCCTCTTGGACTAGGTGCTGTTACTCTGTGCGAATAACGCATGATGCCGTGTCGCAGCTGTGCAGCAACAGTACCCGACGCCCAAACTCACAAGCCTAAAAGCGAAGAAAAAGCAATGAAAAGCAGGCAATGATCTGGGAAAGGGTCTCGAGGATTCCGATGTTTTGCTGCGTTTATGGACAACAGGGGGTTGATCATCTATTGATAGTACACAGCTGCGAATGCGATGCCTATCAGTCAGGTATCCGCCACCCGCCTGGCATTGTTTAGAATTTGAGGCTAGCGATCCATCAAGTGATGGGGAAAAGCCAACGTCAGTCAAGAAGAAGGCGCCAAAGCAGGAAGACAAAAAAGTTTGAATTGCAGGGAGCAGCACATGGAGCTCAAGGAGATACGACGTACGTACGAAGTAGTAGCGGGAGCGATTGTACCTGCCCCCTGTACTCTCGATGTACCGCGCCGAGTACCTCAAGCGATACGTACCGGGAGGCGACTTTGGGTGACTGAGGGAGGCCCAGGACCAATGTGGCTGGGCGTCCGGGCCAGACACGGGACTAACAAGACACCAAGACCAGAGCGAGATCGAACGAGTGGGCGAGCAAGCGCGGTCCCTGTCTCTCGTTCTTGTTTTCTGGGGCTCTTGTTCTTTCCTCCCCCATCCCCTTGCACTTTTCCTTTGAAAGTAACCTGAGATTTTCTACATACTGTAAACAGTTCGGCAGGCAGGCAGGCAAGCTGAGCAGATCAAGTCGGCACGTTGTAGTACTTGGCAGCAGGAAGAAAACCTAGCACGAGGGAGAAGCGTGGAAGTACTTTAGCCACAGACCACAGGCCACAGTACCTTACCTCATTCTACTGCGTACCTTCTCGCGCTTTCACTTGCTACTTGTTACTTGGCTACGTACTCGGACACAGATTGCTTTCCCTTCCTGACTCTGTGTCTGGAAAGTGGCTCGGCGGGTCGAGTGGCGAAATGCAAGACTGGGTCGCTCTCCATCGGATTCCTCCACCTGCCGCCCTGCTCGTCTCTTGTGTTGTTTGTCGCTGCTCTACTCTTGTCACTCTGTTCTGCAACGTCTGCTCTGCACCTCGCTCTCTCGTTTCCATTAGCCCTTTTGCCTCTGTCTTCGAGCTCTCCATCTGTACCAAGGTTGTCTCATACGTAGTCAGTCTGTCGATACCTGTATTACATACTATGTTCATATCCCCATTGAGCTACAAGTGTATGGATCAAGTAAGGTGCCTTGATAGGCGAATATTTTGCTATCTCTCTCTCTCTCTCTTACACATCATTCTCCCTCTCTGTGTCTCTCTTCCTCGCTCTCTACAATTTCTCGACTGATTGTGATTCGGTAGCTCTCGTGCTTAAGTGCCCATACCGTCGTATTCATCATGAGAACAAGACTTCCATCTACAAGTCCATCCCTGTTGACACAAGGCGACAAGCTACTTTCGTCTAGTTTAGTTCGTGGCCCGGCCAAGTGGGAGGGCCACCCGACCACATCTGTGTCCCTTGCACATCTCAGAGCGGCAGCCAAGAACCGAAGAAAAAAATCCCATCTTTCTTCATCCAATTTGATGCTACTGGTTCCAGAACGGGCACCTGGCCATGCACATCAGTTCGTTCCCACATCATGGATGCTCCCCTTACCCGCATCGCCCCTTCTACCGCCACCCCTCCCTACGGTGTGAGGTGTATGCCTTTTTTCTCTTCCTCCTCCTCCTCCTCCTCAATTCCCATCCCTCCTTCCTCTTCCCCATTCCATCTGGGCTGAACTGGCCAGGACTGAGAGCGAGACCTTTTACCTACGACCTAGTATAGTGCCTCTGTGCCTCTGTGCCTCTGTGCCTCTGTGCCTCTGTGCCTCTCTCTCTCTCTCAACCTCTCTCACTCTCTCTTTCGCACACACATACACTTACACTTACACTCACACGCCTCTCGCCTCTAAACCCACCCCTCCTCGAACGCCACTTAACCCACTGTCTGGCCCGGTCGTTTCCCTCTCGCCTTACCCGTCGCTCACCCAGACTCGACCTTCGACTCGTCCTGTCTTCTCTCTCACAACTGCCTCGGTGTAGTGTAGTCGGGCAGTCCTCTCTCGCTCATCAGCATTGCCATCTCGGCCTCTTCTTCGTGATATCTTTGAAAAGAAAAGGTGCGACGCATACACTACGACAACAACGGACGCATAGCGGCGAAGTGGTTGCCGCCTACATCTCGGAGCTCTCCTCAAGTCGGCCAACGGCGCAATCTTGGAACCCACCTCCAGTGCTCCAGCACCTACTCGACAGCTCCCCCGAGCTCGAAACTGCGGGCATTATCCTGCGCCATCTACTCTACTTCAGTACGTGCGTTTCTGGCATCCCACAACTCCTCCAACGTTTTCTCTCAAACCCCTACGCCTCAGTCGCCGCTTGCCCATAGCTTTCTTATTGCTCAACAAGTAACTAGGATTCTGAGAGCCTCCACATTTAGCTTGCTTGTGCAAGATACCCGGCCCTTGGGTTTTGGCCACCATCCTGTCGGTAACTCGTCACCTTCCTTGTGCTGCTATTCCACGCCTTTCTCTTTTTACTGCCCGGATCTCATGATAGCCGTTTCCTTCCTTCTTCCATAAATATCATTGGGCGTTGGGAGAAGAAGCACTCTTAGTGTCTCCTTCATCACGCAGCTACCACAGCAACCTCTAACTGGTACGCCAGGACTATTCTGTCTAAACCCTCGCTTACGTTGACTTGGTCTTTTTCAACCGGTCGAGTCTCGTCTTGCCACTGGGGGCTTCTCAGTCGTCGACTCTCCATACTTCTTCATTCTCTTGAATCGCACTGGATTGGACGTCCTCTGCTGCACAGCATCACATCGTCACCTTAACGTGTATTCATCCTACCATCAAGTCCTGAGCTCGCATTCGTCTTACATCATTGGACTCGTAACTCGTAGAACATCCATCTACCAGTACAGCAACAACCCCTGCGTCGGCGCCCCGAAGTTCAGGTAAGAGACAGCCCTCGTTTAGTGGCAACCGCACCATACTGAAGCGGCACCTCTCCACACGATGTACATGCCTGGAGTTCCCTAACCTAGCCCCTCGCGTCTCGTTTCTTCGTCCTTCCCGTCATCTTCGGCAGCTCCCCCTCCATCACCCTGGTACCAAAGACTACGCAGCCCCCCCTGCTTCGGGCTCTTCTCTGCATTAGTATTGGACGCCCAGACGAGCTGATCGCCTTCTAGGAATTTCATTGAGCCACACATCGCACGCGCTCCTTCCTGAGCAGGGTTAACTGCCACATATACCCTTGGGGCGCTCGGAAGCGTGACTTTCCAGAGGGAAATCCCCCCCTTTCCTTCAAAGGCTGTGCAAACTAGCCACATTGGCCACAACGTGGGCTTTCACTCATCTACCGCAAATAGCTCAATCTTGTTGTGGCGCCTAGAATCATACATACTTCCCGTCACATCCTGACCGTCTCTCCTCTCGTCTGGGTTTTGCTCCGTTAGAGCTGTCAGTCGACCCAGAGCTCCGGGGGCTTGGACTAGTGCTTTACCGAAGGTATAAACTACTAGATGGACCTCAGCCTGGCTTGCTGGCGCCGTTGGTCCCGGCCGCCGACGTTTGGGCATTTTGCTAACTCGATTACGACAGTTTGTGGGCGGCTTAGACTCCGATACAGCTCGCACCATCACCATACAAATGGGAGATGTTCAATCTCCTCCCAACGTCACCGAGTATCCTATTGTGGACTCTCACCAGGGCTTAAACGCAAACGCTGCAAGTGTTTCGCCCATTCTTCTAGACGAGAAGTCGAGGATGGAAGCTCAAGGCATCCCCCATCTGCAGCATCAGCAGTACGGCCCTCCGCAACATGCCTTTTCGTCTCAACTCGACATGGCTCAGCAGCCCGCAGCCGGTCGCCCCGGAAATTTCAACATGAACAACATGGCGAACGCGCTGCCCCAGTCAAGCATGAGGCATGGGCATTACGTGCCCGGTGGCCAGCCGCAGCATCAACAGCAGCGATTCAGCCCGGCCACATCCTCGCCTTCGATGATGCCGCAGATGCCACAGATGGCTCCTCAGTATCCTGGCCAAGGCGCGATGCCCATGGGAAACCCGCAATACTACATGCCGCAGCACCACCAGATGCAGCACTACTACACCAACCAGCTCTCTCCGACTCAGCAGCAAGCTCGCCCAAACATGGGATACTACCCGAGCCAAATGGTTATGAACCATCCGCAGCATAATCAGATCCCTCAAGGGTACTACTATCCTCCAGCTGGCCACTACTCCCAGAATCAAGCTCTTCACAATCCCATGGTCTCGGCACAGTACATGGGAACGAACACCGGACACAGCGACCCTAGAGTCATGCCTCAGATGCCCAACGGAATCGACCCTAGCGGTATGAACGCTCCCTCGAGCCACAGGTCAAGTGGTATTGCGCGCTCAGTGCCAACGTGTCGGAGAGACATCACTGACCGAACTATAGATGTGGGTGAAGGTCGATCCGGGGTTGTACGCGGGCCACCGCGAAAACCGCGTCAAAGTGGTTAGTCTTGTTGCAATTCGAAGAGTCAAACTCGCTCGCTGACAATATTATCAGGACATGCGATCTGGGTTGGAAATCTTCCGCCTCAAACCGACCTCATGAACCTCGTCCACCACGTGTGCAAGGAGGCAAACGGCCTCGAGTCCCTATTCTTGATATCGAAGAGCAACTGTGCATTCGCCAACTTCAAAGACGAACAAACATGCGTGACGGCTCAGCAAAAATTACACGATTCTAAATTCCAGTCCGTTCGCCTGGTCAGCCGCTTGCGCAAGAGCACTGTCGAGGGCGCAACAGGTGTTACAGCACCTACAGGCCCAGCGGCCTCTTCTGGATCGCAAACGCCTCACGATGTCGCTGCACCGCCAAGCGCTACTGAAGCTACTCCCGAAGTGGCAGTGGCAGAGTCCAATGATGTCAAGCCCGTCACCGCAGTAGAAGCAACATCTCAGAAGGATAAGTTCTTCATCCTGAAAAGTTTGACTGTGGAGGATCTCGAGCTTAGTGTCAGGACGGGGATCTGGGCAACCCAGTCTCACAATGAGGATACGCTGAATGCCGCTTTCAATGTAAGCAGCATCTTGAAGGTCTAGTCTTGCATCTCTGACTTATTTCTATAGGCCGTCGACAATGTTTACTTGGTGTTTTCTGCGAACAAATCGGGCGAATATTTCGGATACGCAAGAATGACATCTCAAATTAACGAAGACCCGGACGCTGCTATCGAGTTTGCCCCCAAGGCACAGTCCGCTAACGATGTCGACTTGCCGAAGGCAATTCCTACCGAACCCACAGAGTACGCGCCAAAGGGCAGGATCATTGATGATTCGGCCCGTGGCACCATCTTCTGGGAAGCAGAGCGTGAGGATGGAGAGAGTGGTGACGAGGAAGAGGAAACCGAAATGGAACAGAGCGATGCGAGCAGCCGTAAGAGCGGGAACCAAGAAGCCGATGGTAACACCAAGGCTTGGGGGAAGCCCTTCAAACTCGAATGGCTGTCGACGGCACGACTGCCATTTTACCGCACCAGGGGTCTTCGTAATCCATGGAACTCGAACCGCGAGGTCAAGATCGCGAGAGACGGCACCGAGCTGGAACCGTCCGTCGGAAGAAGGCTGATTGGGCTCTTCAATAGAGTTCAGAGTCCTGGTCCAGGTTCAGTGCCGGCTATGCGACCCGGAATGGCGATGATTGCAGGATATCCGCCCATGAGGCCACAGTACCAACAATAACCGGCACCGTCATTGGTATTATTGGCGACTTAGCCGAGACTTCATTTCTCAGGCATTAGTTGATTTGGATCCGGACTCTGTGGTTTACGATCGGTTGGACATGTTTTTACGACAACAGCCGCATATGCAGGCCATGGCGAGCGCTGTGATGGTTGGTTATCTGGATGTGCTGCTTCTCAATGTATCTAATCTGGCTGTCTAATTCTACGAAAGAGTTTGGTGTATGCTGCCTACGAATTTGGAGTTGAAGGGGCGGCGCCTGGGCGATGTGACAGCTACCGGGACAGTTGGTACGGATGGACTGGTCAAAGGAGCAGATTTTCTCCATTTATCATATCCCGCCCTATGCGTTTGCTTTCCCACTTGGTCCGGCAAGTTAAAGGCAAAATGCAGGACTTGAAAAAGTTGGTCAATATGCCATTTCTACTGCGAATCCACGACATGTCGTCGATCAGCTGTGGCACGTTTACGGTGGCGACATCCACATTGTGGCTTGACCCTGGAAGGGATGAACCCGGACGAGCGTCGGGATCACGACTCGAACTGCGCCCTCAAACCTTAATTGGCAAGGTTTCCTCGTCGCATGGCTGACCAGGCGCATGTCATTCAATTGCCGATTTTTGGTTACTTGAAATTGATGTCAAGATGCGCGAACTTCCCGTTCAGTTGATCAGGGAATACCTGTGGGATCGACTGCACAATGTGACTTTTTCGTCAGATCCAATTCGATGTTTTTCGTCGAAAAGTGAAGCTAGCGTGTATGATGTACCGTTACATTTGAGTGTGCAAACCGAGAGATTTTATCGTCAGGGGTACGGAGCACCACCACAATCATTTGAATCCACGGCACGGAGTAACAGGCCTTGAATTTCCGCCACTTCTTTACTTGGTGTCCGTCCAGACCGATATCTCGTCCAAGTTCCTGCGGCGGGGTTACTGTAATGATCGCAACGGGATGATTACTGAGGGTCTCCGTCTCTGGAGTGAGGCGAACGTTTTCCCCACGTTATGAGGTATACTACCACACTACCAGGACCACCGTGTTGTGAGATACCAAATCCCAGAGGGCCGGAGACGCTACGACGTGCGGGTTTGATGTATCCGAATTACCTGAGGTAAGAGTTTGACTCAGCAATGCCGTAAGCTGCCACCGGCATCGGCTCGTCCTTCTCAAACGGCCTGCTGCATTGCAATCTTTTTTTCTCTCCCCCGCTCTCTCACTCTCTCTCACTACCCATGTGCCATGGTCCCATAGAAAGTGGGCGTAGATAATTGTGCAACAGGTTTCGCGGGAACCAGACCGGACATGCAGACTAAAACGGGAGTCGCCGTGGGCTGTATCACACTACAAACCCCGATTTGTAGGATCCGACACGATGATGGGGATCCCGCGGGCTGGTTTGGAAAACCTAAGGGTCTGGACCTGGCCATGGGCGATTGAGAGTCTGGACTCTTTTTTTTTGTCGGCTTTCTGTCATGGACAAGTCTGTGTGACTAGGCGAGCTGGGGGCCGGGGAGGGGGAGGAGAGGTGCCCCGGCACGACCATCCGTTTGACGTCGGGGGTCGAAATTTGATTGGACAGATGACGGATTGCGTCTTGCTGAACCCTTGTCGGAGGCCGAAACTCTAAAAAGTAGGCCAGGTGGATGTACCACGGCGACTTACAACGGTTTCGAGCTGCTCTTCGAAGGTCTGAAGATGCGGTTTCTACATTTCGGATGTTGACATGTTTATCGTATTGATCAATGGGGAACTATCGACTGATTGAATTGTCAGTGAGAGAGCTCAATTGACTTGAATGATTTTCCACCCTAAATTTCAATGGGGTTGAGTTGAGTAATGTATAGCTGTGCCGGTGGCGAAGGCCAATGGAAATCGCTGGAAGGTTCCAGCAGCTTCCACACCTCCGAAGCTACCAGAACCCTCTCCCATCGTGAGGCCATCGCCAAAGAGAAGCTTACAGATCCCTCCAGAATAGGCTTTCGCAGCATGCGCGTCCCTTCTCCGATGCGCGAGTCCATTCTCGAAGGGCCTTGCGGCGGAGTCTTTGATTTTTCAGCGATGTTTCCGGAACGCTGGGGAAGGCACGATGATGCCTGCTTCAGTTATATAAATCGGTCGTCTTGATCGCCTCTACCGCCGACTTTCTTCTCCTCAGATCAGAACATCAAGAACAACAACAAGCGAATACGGCTACAACTCTCTCATACACACAACAAAACAACCAGCTCTCGCAATCACTACAGTTTTTCTACTCATCAATCAATCCACCACACAACCACTTCACACCCTCTCAACGACCAACAACAACAACATCATCAAAATGGCCTTCTTCCCCCGCAACTTCTACAACTCCGACGCCTCCTTCACCCCTCTCTTCCGCCTTCTGGAGGACTTTGACAACTACTCCCGCCAGGGCAACGGCACTCCTTCCAGCAGCGCCCGCGGCACCCACCGCAACCACGTCCCGACCTTCCAGCCCAAGTTTGATGTCCGCGAGGTCGAGGACGCCTACGAGCTCCATGGCGAGCTCCCTGGCATGAGCAAGGACGACGTCTCCATCGAGTTCACCGACCCGCACACCCTCCACATCCGCGGCCGCGTCGAGCGGTCTTACACCGGCGGCACCCCGCCCGCGGGCCTCCTCCAGCAGTCCTCCGGAACTGAGATGAGCGGCGCCATCACCGACGGCGGTAACAATGACGCCGCCAGCACCACCGGCACTGAGCGCCCTCGCTCGCCTCACCAGGCTACCGTCGAGGATGAAGAGGACGACGAGACAAACTCCACCGCGCAGCCTACACCCGCCACCACCGTCGCCGAGGTCGACAAGTCTGCCTCTGCTGTCGCGCACCACCACGCCGCCGCTGCCAAGAAGGAGCCCGTCGACAACGCAAAGTACTGGGTCTCGGAGCGCAGCATTGGCGAGTTCAGCCGGGTCTTCAACTTCCCCGGCCAGATCAAGCAAGACGCCGTCTCGGCTGGGTTCAAGGATGGTATCCTTTCCATCCGGGTGCCCAAGGCTCCCAAGCACGAGACTCGCCGCATCTTCATCAACTAAAAGACGACTATGACTATAATCCTTCCAATTGTACAACACGACAATAATGAGAATTGAGGGAATAGGAAATGGGACTTTGATGGAGGGATGAGCATTAATGGGTCTCTTGCATTGGGATTGGTGTTTCGGGTTTCTTTACTTTCCTTCGCTGCCTATATACTAGCAATGACAATGAAACAAGGTTAAAAACAAAACGATTGAATCCATTTATAACTCGTCGCTGTGTCTGATTGTGAGCTTAACTTGACTCCAGATGGTAGAGTGATGATATCTAGCCCAGCTTGAGCTGGAGACTTCAACGCATAGAAGGGTTGTTGCAAGCTCTCGAATACAATTAACGCTGATGCACAGAGTATATCAAATGAATCGAAGTCTGGCATTTACTTGCGACACAATTGCGAATGCCTTAGCTCAACGATGTCATGACTAGCAGGGTGTCTGTGGTGAGTTTGATGAGGGAAGCACGGAGCGTCTTAATATGACGCTAACTCCAGGCACACGGTGGGGCCGACCGGCTTCTTAATTGCCGCACGTGATTTGGCGTATTTTCTTCTCGATTAGTCGCCACCACCAGTCATCCCCGACGCGTCTTAAGAGCCCGCGTTTCGCCCACCATCAACAATTTGGCAATTGTATGAACACCTAACTCGTTTCCTGACGTCCGATTTTGCGCGTGCACTGCTGTCATTTCCCTCGTGTATACAAAGTTCGACGTCTCATTTCTCACATCTACGAGCACAATGGCTGACGCTGACGGCTACGACGAGAGCCACAATGGCGATGAGAGCGGCATGACCGGGCCTGGCGCGCCTACGCCACTCACTGCGCTCGAGGTAAGTTCCGACCAGACTGCCTTCGCGTTGTGCATGGCGTGCTGATGAAGAAAAAGGGAGTTGCCGGCTTGACGAAGCGCGATATCCAAATGGTCGTCGACGGCGGCTTCAACACCGTAGAGTCAGTAGCGTATACCCCGCGCCGCATGTTGGAGCAGATCAAAGGCATTTCGGAACAAAAGGCAACCAAGATTCTTGCCGAAGGTACGAAAATCCAACTCACACAATTGTGCAAATCAATCTGACTGAAGGGAACCAGCCTCGAAACTTGTGCCAATGGGCTTCACGACCGCCACGGAGATGCACCAACGACGAAGCGAGCTCATCTCTATCACGACTGGCTCCAAGCAGCTGGATACACTTCTCGCCGGTGGTATCGAGACCGGATCGGTGACTGAGCTGTTTGGAGAGTTCCGCACGGGAAAGAGTCAGATTTGCCACACTCTTGCCGTGACATGTCAACTGCCCTTTGACATGGGTGGCGGAGAGGGCAAGTGTCTGTACATTGATACCGAGGGTACCTTTCGACCCGTTCGACTGCTGGCCGTCGCCAACAGATTCGGTCTCTCCGGAGAAGAGGTCCTCGACAATGTGGCCTATGCTCGCGCGTACAATTCAGATCACCAGCTCCAGCTCCTCCAGCAGGCTGGTGCCATGATGTGCGAGACCCGATTCTCGCTCCTCATTGTGGACAGTGCGACGGCGCTTTACAGAACCGATTTCTTGGGCCGAGGTGAACTCTCGTCGAGACAGACTCACCTGGCCAAATTTATGCGCACGCTTCAGCGTCTCGCCGACGAGTTTGGTATTGCCGTGGTGATCACCAACCAAGTCGTCGCACAGGTTGATGGTGGACCGAGTGCTATGTTCAACCCCGACCCGAAGAAGCCAATCGGTGGTAACATTATCGCCCACGCAAGTACGACGAGAATCAGCTTGAGAAAGGGTCGAGGCGAGACTCGTGTCGCCAAGATCTACGACAGCCCCTGTTTGCCGGAGAGTGACTGTCTCTTTGCGATCAATGAGGATGGCATCGGTGACCCAAGCCCCAAGGACCTGGAGAAGGAATAGCGTAGGTACATATGGGTACTGGACGACTGGACGAAAGTAGCTTGTGATGGTGTTATGCGCATATGAGTGAGCTTTGATACACCCCCGGGTTGGGAAAGATGGCATGTATTGATGTTGGCGTTGGGCGGCAATGGTTACACTGGAGTTGTGGTATTTCTGCTGTCAATTGTGCAGACTAGGTGCGGAGCATTTGCTAAAACGGTAATGAATCAAAATACCTTTGAATTCCTTCCTATGAGTATCAAAATATGCATCGTCGTTGGTTCCCTGTGTCCACCTTGTCTAGATTATCAAATCTTACTTTCTGAGAATCATGTCGAGTGTGTACAGTGTGGACATCGTTTGCGTGTACTGCAGCACTGTATCAAGCTGGTTGCTGTTTTGGGAGTAGCCCCACCGGGCGCGTAGGAGCCTTCAAACTGGAAATTCCATCAACTCAATCGCGACGAACTTTTTGCTGCCACAGATTGCTTAATGCGCCGAGCCTGACCCGCGACTCCCGCGGCCTCTTTCTCTCTCTCATCTCCGGCGCTCGAGGTCTTTGCAGGTTAGGGGCAAAGCGAAAATGGATTCCGCCGACACACAATACCTATACCGAGAGACTCGTCTCAATCTCGAACCGGCCTCCGCCTCATCCATCATCAACATCCGCGTCCCTTCGCTGACGTCGAATGGGAGGGGCGCGACCCGCAAGCTCACATCCGGCGACAAGAACGTCAGCGAAGACGAAGTTAACTTTCGGCTCAAGAACCTCGCTCCCGCTTCGTCCGTCTACCACCGCAAATGGCACGATGCGCCGCGCAGCTTCCTCTGGAGGCTGTTGGATGACGGTCTCGTCCTCAGCCTACGGGTAGTCGATACCTGCCGACAAGAGAAGACGGTCGATGCGCCGCTGATTCTCAATTTCCGATTCACGGTGCCGATTCAATCGTCCTGTGTTGCGTTCGCCGACCCCCGAGAACATGATGCGCTCTCCATGTTCGTGCTCGACGAGGCCAACTGCCTGTACTCCTTCACTCTCCGCCCCGACTTCTTCAGGAAGCGCTCCGCCATCGAGGCCGGCCCGGGAGATGCTTGCAAGGTGTACCAGCCAAAGGTCTTTGGGTTCAAGCACCCGCATCGCATGGTTGCCGCGAGCACCGATCAGATTGTCATTTCTCTTCACGACGGCGGGCTGGTGAGGTTGGACCGGAATAAGACACAGGATTGTATGTCACTTTCCCTCGACTGCTGCTACCACAACAAGAGCTTCACACTAACTTGTGCATAGCAACGAGCAACCCCTGGAAGGAGACGATCTACAATTCACAAGGATGGGCGCAGGGCATTCGAAGCTATCTCCCGTTCCAGCAGAACCAGTCTATCCGATATCGCAACATCCACATGGACGCGAGCGCGGCAACGTCGATTCAGGTTACGAACCTGGGCCTCGATGATGCGGCGTTTCTCTTCACAGTCTGTCTCGACCATCGCATGCGCATCTGGAACCTGCGGACAGGCCAGATCTTGTTTACTGGCGACATACTGAACTCTGACCGCAACCCGCAAGAAGTCGGCAAGTGGCAGATTGAACCTACACAGACGAACTTATTGCAGCTGGTTGGCGACGGAACTGGCAACAGGATGTGCGCCACGTACTCGCCCATTGGGGCTGGAGAGTTCAAATTCTGGAACATTAAAGCCCGCGACAGCGACACCGTTTACGTGGAAGATGCGTTCCCTGATACCCAACTCACCCCATCGTCACCGTCGCTCTCCGATGTGTGGACCCTGGCGGACTTTGTTCTTTCAACACTTGCAGATGGCGGTATTCAGTTGTGGACATTGTGGAAGAACAATATGACCTACAGAGTCCAGGAGCTGGATCTCAACAGAGACAACATCGCCGAGTCATGGGAAAGCGAGTGGGCGTCAGTCCACATTGACACAACTTATCCCACCGCGCCGACGTCCGGATCCTCTGACCCTACAGACCCGACAGAAAAGTGGTTGGATCTTATCCTCGCCCCTGGCCGCTTCACCAAAGCGACCCTCGAAACAGCTCTGTCCATATACGAGAAGGGGCTTTATTCTCAAAAGGAGGGCAGCTCGAAGAGTCAACAAAAGGGCCTGGCAGAGTCAATCTGCTCTGTTCTTGCCTCAACAGCATCCTTGGACCGGAACTCGGCTGGTGGTATGGATTATGAGCAATTCCGTGCTAGCAGCGAGACCCAGTGGAGGAGATTTTACCGTCTTCTGATCGAGTTGGACAAGCAACGTGGCGAGGCAGTTGCATTGGTTCTCGACGCGGAATCCGACATGACGTGGGTTGTGTGTGCCGATGCAATGTCGGCCATCAGAGAATGCAGCTCACTGGAGCGGCTGTACTATAATCTCTCGCGTCCAGATGAGGCCTCGGAAAGGATAGCAAACCTTGTCTCGACGGGCGTCGGCTTCCTCGATGCTATTTCGGACAGTATACAACAGGTCTGCACTGCCGCCCTGCGACCTGAGATTTACGAGGAGACCCCTCGAACGGACTATGAACGACTCCAATACCTCTTTGACACCACTGCTCTTTGGCGCACTGTAAGTGACGAAGACTGCGCACAGGTCATTGAGAGTCTAGGACAGTCTTACACTGGTGTTACGATGGATCTATACGAAAGCCTCTCGGGCTTGGTTGCGGCTACGGAGGAGTCTGGAAGCCGCAAGGCCCGTCAACCGCTGACCGACTTTGGACGGAAGCTCATTGTCAAGGCTGTTCAAGAGACGATTGATCTGCAGTGGAACATCATCTTCAGCCAGGTCTTGCTACTGGTACACATGGAGTTCGACTGGGATCAAGAGGAAGACATGCTCTCTAAACGAATTGACGTCGGCGCTGTGTTCAGACAGTTCCTCGAGTCACTTCGTCGGTTAGAGCTGCTTCGGTGGCTCTCCAAGACCGAAATCACCGTTCCTATTGGCAACAAGCACGAGCGCAATGACTCCTTCTCAGGCTCGCCTAGCACCACGAAGAGGACTGCAGAGGAGACACAGACCGTCACCGCGTTGGAGGGTAATGTCGGTCATCTTCTTGGCTTTGTGGACGGCAGAAACGAACCTTTGGCTACGAGTATCACAGACATCGTTACGGATCTCTGTGCCTCCAACAGCGATATTGAGGTGTCACCTACTCTGATCCAGTGCTCCCTCATCAGAAGAGAGCGGGCCGATCTTGCTCTTCAACTCAACCCCTACTGCGCCCAGACGCCATTCGCCATCTACATCCAGGGCCGTGTTTTCCTTGCGCTTAAAGACTTCGCTTCGGCCGCCTTCCACTTCCGTAAAGCAGCGATAGGCATGAGTAAGTTCAATTTGCCACTGCTGTGTAGAAAACAAGACTAATGTTAGTGACAGGCGTCAAAGATGTAGATGTTGACCGACACAGCAGCGGGCTGCTTGACGATACCGAGTGGAACCTGCTCAACAAGGGGCCGGCTAGGTATTACTGTCACGCAGTCGCTCTGTTCGAGAAGGTCAAGGCATACTCATATGTAATCGAGTTCGCCGGACTCGCAATTCAATACTCACACGCCAGTCCCGAAGCTGCCCTGGTCAGAAGCGAGATGCTTAGCCGACAGTTCAATGCGGCGACGGTACTCTCACGCTTCGACGTCGCCCATGCTAGTCTACTAGCCATGAAGGATAAGGCGATGCAGCTCTCCTCCCTTCGCAAGCTTGTCGACAAGATGTGCGAATCGTACCACAACAGCGAGCTCATGTCGCTGCCGTTCCCGGGTCTACAAGACTCGATCGACGACATTCTGGCACAAAGGTGCAAGGCAACGATGGATGTCCTGAGCGGCATCCCATACCACCAGATCCTTTACTCCTGGAGGATCAAACACAACGACTACCGCGGCGCCGCTACGGTGCTGCTTGACCGCATCCAAAAGCTGCGACACGCCGGCGAGGGCGATAAGCTCATTGGCGAGGACATTCTCGATACGGCGGTCACGAAGCAGTATCTGCTGCTCATCAATGCCCTCAGCTGCGTCGATCCGAAGCAGGCGTGGATCTTTTCCGAGGATTTGCCGCCTCCCAACGCTTCGAGGGAGCCGACGACCTTCCAGGGCAAGCGCAAGGTCGTTACGTTACCGGACTTGCGCAAGCAATACCAGGACGAACTCGACCGGATCGCAGCCATCCAGAACAACCAGTTTGGATTCGAGGCTGACGATGCAATGGACATTTTGTAAATGGATGAAATGAGCAAAGAAACGAGATCAATAAGTTGAAAGGGCAATGCGGGCCAAACGGGGGAGGGGAGAGTTTACTTCGTAGGGGATGGAGATGGAGAGAGCATGTGTACAAGTAATCAAGAACGCGCGATCCTGGACCACACAAGAATGATCCAGGACAACCAGATACCTTCACGAATTGCATGCATTGGGTTTTGTTTTTCGGTACTCGGTCAAGGTCCAAGGTAGATGATGAAGAATTTCATTGTTTGTTGTATCAGTGCAGCAGACCCTAGCTTTGTTTACCCCAAACGCCGTGACCTATGCTTAAAACTACGTGGGACGGACGGTTCTTGACGAGGACTTATCCTCTCATTGGCGGCAGCAGCCACATCATGCAGAATAACCTCCCCCCCTTCCCCCTATTTCATCAAACAACTCATTACTTATAAACCATGGCGTCATTCTTCAGATACTTCTATGCCTGAACAGACTGGCCCATCAACTTTGGGTTCTCGGGGGCGGCGGCCATGATCATGTTAGGACCGGCGGCGGCGTCCGGGGCTTGGCGGTAGAGAATGATTTCCGACTGCTTGAAATACCGCCGCGCATCTGGTGTTCGATTGTTAGCTTGCATTTAATCAAAGACATAACCATAAAACGGGTGGTTGTGGCTTGCCTTCGTCGATGAGCACGAGACTGAGGTAGTACCGGGTGGAGAACTTCTTGTTCACGTCCCGGAACGTGGGTGTCAGGTCGAAGCCGCCGAGGAAGAGGCGGATGGGGATCGTCTCTCCTCTCGAGGGCGAGCCATCCATAATCTTTGTGCCGAGAGAGTCAGTACACAGAACCATTGATAGTTGGAGGAGAGCATTATCCGGAGCCACAAACTCACCTCGAACCGCACCAGGGTCTCGCTCTCATTATACTGATTCGGCGCGGCGCCCGTCGTCTCCCTCCGGATGATGGACAGCTCCATGTGTTTTATCTTGAGGCGGACGAGCAAAAAGTATATGCGCCCGACGATAACGTCCTTTAGGTGGTATTTGGATTTCGAGTACTCAAACTCGATGTGGAGGCAGTCCTCGATGCCGACGTCCATCTTGATGGACGAGTTCATCTCGGGGGGTATGCGGTACGAGTAGACCCAAATGTCCTTTTCGCGGATAACGTCGGCCATGCGGCGGGAGACGGTGACGCGGACAAAGTAGCGCAGCTTGACGTTGATGCCGTTGTACGACTCGTACTGCTTCTCGACGTTTTTGAAGTTGAAGTCGAACGTCTGCGGGTGCTGCAGCTCGCCCGGGGCCGCGAGCTCCTGGACGAGGGAGAGGAATTCGTAGTGGTTTCCGCGGTCAAAGAACATTTCTGCGCAGAGGAAAAAGATGGGAGTATTAGTGTTGGGCGAAAGGCGGGAGAGGCTCCTGGGGGTCGCTCGCTCAGAAAGACTCACCTATCGTGCCGATGAATTGGACCTTGATGCCGGTGTGTTCTAGCCGCTTGCCGTCCTTGGGTCTGATGGTGACGGCGCCCTTGACGGACTCGCCGTCCATGTACAGCGGCGCCTTCTCGCGCCGGTTCTTGTCGAGCTTGACATCGACCATGGACCGCTCGTCGGCGTCCTCCAGCACAATGTCGATGTCGACGGGGGTTGAGAAGAAGTACGACATCTTGGCTTATGCGGGGGAATGCCCGGATCTCGCGCGATTGTGTGGTTTCGATGCTCGGATATAAAGGGGGCGACGAATCCAAGGTCCCAATGGCTAGTGATCGGTCAGCCCGTCGAGCTTGGAATTTAATGATTAAGTTGAATTGATATCGGAGCGTCGGAGAAGGGGGGTGTCGCGGAGCTTCAAGGCTGACGTATCTGTATCTGTACGTGCACTCACTCGGCTTGCGCTGCTCCAGTCGCGCCAGCCCGGGCAGCTATCGAGAAGTGGGCAGCAACTGGAGCTGTAGGGAGTGCATCCTCCCATTGGCCAGTACCGACACGTGACTGTGCTAGGCAGTCATCCTCAGTACTTGAGGCTGGTGACCCGGAGCTGTGGCTGGGGCTCGACGGCCATGCCCCGGACGGTCAGGATCCGTCCTTCTCCACTAGGCCCGGGCAGCCGGGCGGTCGGCCAAAGAATCAATTACGCACAGACCATGGTTTTGCCCTCACGTGCACACAAGCCCTCGCTAGAACTTTTGCACCCCACACCCGAAAATTGAATCGCGACTGCCAGACTCCCCGACTTGGAACTTTTTTGAAAGTGAAGAATTGTCCCTCATCGCCCAACGAACGACCAGTCGCCCAGTAGATCGCCCAGCCGACAGCCCTCCTCCCCCCCCGACGTCAAGATGAGATACATCCACTCCCAAGAGAGCCTGACGGTTCCCGAGAATGGTATGTGAAGCAATGCCGTCGTCGTCGTCTCCTTGACGATCGATTGAGCACACAATACAACGAAAATACTCCTCCCCCACGATGCGGCCCCCTGCGAGCTCCGCCGGGTTTTGAACTTCACGATACTATATCACCTATTTGTCGCCATTCGCACTTCGAGTCTCTCGCCTTCCTCTGTCATGGTCGCAACCTCGATGCCTTTGGCAACATGGTCGCTGGCGCAAAAAATGGAAAACCACAACCACATCACAATGGCAGAGGGATTGGGGAGGCTTGAGGCGGACAAAGCAACATTTGGGTTTTTGGGTTGAAGAGTTTTAGACTGTGGATGAGCTCGAAAGGAGCAGTAGTGGCAGGCAATCGAATGCATGCTGACTTGGATTCTCCAAACAGTCAAGGTTCACATCAAGTCCCGCATCGTCACCGTTGAGGGCCCCCGTGGTAAGTACAAGACTCTCCTCCGATCGCGATATCTCCCGAGACGTTGCGATCGGCCGGTCCTAGCTGTTCCTGCTCTGCGCAAGCAGAGCGCAACGGCTTCAGTGCGGCAGCACCCCTCACCAAACCGATATGGCTAACACCCGTCACCAGGCAAGCTCGTGAAGGACCTGTCCCACTTGGCTGTCAACTTCTCCCAGCCGGTCAAGGGCACCATCAACATTGAGATCCACCACGGCTCAAGAAAGAACGTTGCCACTCTCCGCACCGTCCGCACCCTCATCAACAACCTGATCGTCGGTGTCACCAAGGGCTTCAAGTACAAGATGCGCTACGTCTACGCCCATTTCCCCATCAACGTCAACCTGGAGAAGGACTCCGAGACTGGTCTGTGGGAGGTCGAGATCCGGTATGTTTGCACAATGTTTCTATACCTGATGATTGCGAGAGACTGACATGCTTTAGCAACTTCATTGGCGAGAAGCTCGTCCGCAAGGTCATCATGCGCGAGGGCGTCGACGTCGAGGTCTCCAAGGCCCAGAAGGACGAGCTCGTCCTCTTCGGCAACTCCCTCGAGGCTGTCTCCCAGTCCGCTGCCGATATCCAGCAGATCTGCAAGGTCCGCAACAAGGATATCCGTAAGTTCTTGGACGGCATGTACGTCTCCGAGAAGGGCAACATTGAGGAGGAGGCTTAAATGCATCTTTTTCCACTCAACGTATAATCCCTCTCGATGAATCAATAAAAACCAAGGTATTGATTGATGTATGAGCCGGAGGAGGGGAGCAAAACCAAAACAAAAAGGGTCAAAACAGGTCATGTTTTTCGAGGCAAATGCAAAAATCAAACTGGGGTTTCTGGGTCTTACACACAACACAATTGGCGTGGCCGGGGTTCCATTTTTCACTTTGCATCGTGTAGCGCAGGGCTACCATGAATCACATCAAAAGTCAAGAAGACGTTGCCTGCTCCCCTCTCTGAGCAGTATATCCCACAACACCTCATTATATACCCTACTCGCATGAGACACTCTTCATGGTGAAATGATACCCACTCAAACTTAAAGAACTCTTCCCTGTTGGCTATTTTGTGAGAAAATGTACTTGCGGATTTAGGATATCTTACACTGTAGACAATGCGTCCACATATCCTGCCTCGTGACTTGAGCGCAGCTATTTTCACAGTAAGGTGGGATTTCCGTGATGGTGTAGCTCTCGACTCATCTCGTCATCCCGATGAACTAAAAATTCAGCCAAGCTTGACCAGATTATGGCCTCATGAGAGTTGCCATCCTCTCGCTGGACTCTTCACAGCATTTGTCTACTGGCACACACATACCCAATACTACATTTCCTCTTCAGATGCAACGTCAATCACCTGTAGTACCATACATCCGCCCAATAGTCCCAAGGTTGAACGACACCAAAAGAAAGAAGGGGAAAAAAAGCACGTAATGTCTCATAACCAAAAGAAATTGACCAGCCTGGGGGTCGAACCCAGAATCTCCTGATACTTTGTCAACGTTTTCCTCGCCCTAGACGAACGAGGGTAAACGCAATCGTAGTCAGACGCCTTGCCATTGGGCCAACCGGCCACTAGCGAATAGTGGGATGATGAAAAGGACACCGGAATTGGCTCTGTGTTGGCAAATGCTCCACGAGGAGGGCAAAGAAATCTCTTTCCCGAAGGTGGAGATCTCGCATCGCAGACTTACACCTAGACTTAGACCTCGTATACCCCGACACACGCACACGCAGAGACGTACGCATCAGACGGCCCGAACGCGAAAACGCAGACCGCACATGGAAAACTCGCTTTGTTCCATGCATGGTCAAACGCGCTCGCAGTGCGCAAGCGCCGCATGTTCATCTCAACTTTGTCGACTCTTACACGGCTTCCCCGAGAAAGCTTCAGCAGTGTGGCTGCATACACACTTGAGCTTGAAGCAACAACACGACAGGAAGGCGATACGGCAACGAGCAAGTGTTGTAATCAGAGAGCCCAATCGAAGAATTTAGTTTCCATTCCATGCATTAAGGGCGTCGAGAAGTTTCGTCTATGCCATCAAATCGTTCTAAACATCGTACATGCTATGCGGGTTTTGGAGGATGGGTAGACAAAGTCAGCCACACCAAGGAAAATGAAGTAGGAAACGCTCAATGTCCAAAGAGATGACCCTCCTCACATCCATAGTCTTCGTGGCCATTTCCAAGCCCCTTCGTCACTCTCCACCCAGTTTTCATGTCTCTCGTCATTCTTTCATTCCCCTCTTCGTCGCCGAATGTCTCGTCGTGCCTTGTAGTTTCCATCACCGTGCTATCAAAAGCCCGGTGGGATTATGATCTCCCCCCTTAACGCCAAAAAGAAAAATAGAAAGCAATAATACCAGTTTATGTACGTTCAAAGCATGTTCGGGGCTTCCGCCGCCTTGTAAAAAGGCAGCCGACAGCATATGCAATTCGACCGAGGTCGCCAAAGAACTTGGGGTGCTACCTCCGTGAGTGGCGCGTCGTGTGTGTGCCGCGTGTGTGGCCGGTGCGGTGAGTTCTTCCACCCGAGCTAGAGCTGCCTAGGTAGGACGTCAGATCCGATCGATCCCGAGAATCCCATGAAGACTCACTGGGACTTGTCCCCGTGTACGAGTAGTACGAGTCGGTGTAGCTCGACCGAGGCTTGGCCTTCGGCTTGTCCTTCTTAAGATTCAAGAGCGCCAACATGGTTGCTGCGGCGGCTCCCAGGCCCAACCACTTGGCGCCTTCCTTCTTCTCTTCCTTGCGACGAGCAGCCGGGGCGGGACGACCGCCACCTGCGAACCAGCCGCCGTGCGAGGGGCGACCAGAGTGGGCAGATGGCATGCGGCTGCCGTGACGCGAGTATCTCTCCTCAACCACCTCGACTCGTTCGCGGCTGTGGCTGTGCTCCTTCTTCTTCTTGCCAAAGATGAGACCCCACAGGCCGCGGGCGATACAACAGAAGCAGAGAAGCATGAGAAGACCGAGACCTGCAAGCGTGCCGATAACAATACCGGCGATGGCGCCGCCGCTCAATCCTCCACCAGTACCCTCGTTGGTGATGGGTACGACTGTGCCGGTGCTGGTTGCTGAGGCGGCGGTGCCGGTGGCCCCGGTGCTCGTGATGCGGTAAGGAGCAGAGTATTGGGTGGTGATTGTATGGCCTCCCGATGTAATTGTAGTGACGCCTCCGCCCCAGCCATCGCGCTGAGCGCATTGCCCTGAGTAGGCACAGTACTGGTTGGCGGCGCAGCAAATGCTGCCACAGGCCGTCTCTCCACTACTCTGAGGAACACAGGTGGCCCCGGTGCCTCCCCCAGCTGCCCCTGTTGTCACTGCAGGCCAGTTTGTCGATATTGTGCTGGTAAAGGTGTTCGTCTCAGTCCATGTCGTGGTGTAAATGCCGTAGCCTCCACCTCCGCTCACGGTGCTGCAGCCAGCGATGTTGTTAACGGTGTAGCACTGCTCTCCGGATCCACAGCAGTACTGAGAGTCGGCTCCACAACGTTGAACGCAATCGCGCTTCATAAATTGGTCGCCCAAATTGTAAAAGAGGTTGTTTGCGACATTTTGGAGAGGATAAGGGTGGGCGAACACCGGAGTGGGGGCGGACACCAAGAGAAGAAGGCCGGCGACCAGAGGGGCCGCTGCCGACTGCTTGCGCCATGCCATTATTTCTGGCGGAGACCGCTGCTCGGCGTCGTCAATTGCCAGGAATGCGCAAGGCCGGGAAGACGGCGAAGTGAGAATGTAAGTCGGCTCTCACCGCGATGGCCAATTTTGTTCCGTCAATGGCGATATCGAGAGGTCCTGTCTTGTTTCGTAGCCTCGTGGGCGCCGCAAAGATTGCGAGAGTGAGGAATGTTGTAGCGGTAGGATGAGGTATTAATGGTTGGCGGGGAATGAGAAGAAGAGGGAGGGTAAGCTGATAGTATAGTCGAGGTGTGATTGAGTGGTCGCGGTGTGAGCTGGCCAACCTTAGCCTGTTAGTGTGCAGAGGTATTGGCAGGTACTGAGAGCTTGGAATGTGATGATTCTTGGGTTAGATGGGAAGAAGGAACCAAGAAGTCGGGAAGAATGAAACCTGCAGGTAAGTTTGATTTAAGAGAGAGAGGGAGAGATTGAGAAGGCGCTGACTGACGGGAGTGTCGTATTACTTGGTTTGGGCAGTGGGATTGTCTTTTTTTCTTCTTGGCCGTTGCGCGGGTCGATTCCCAACCTCCCTGAAGTCCAACCTCTTGATTTTGCTGCCGCTGTCACCAGGCGCACCCACACTTCTGACACCCACAATACTACCCTCAAATAATGCAAAGTTCCGCAGGGATCTAGCTTCACCGATTAGTTTCTGGCCAATCTCTGATGAGGGTGATTGTGAAGGTTCCTCTTGAGTGCGCGATTCCGTCACACTTGCTGCTTCTTTTTATGTTCTTGTTCCTGAAGATCGGGCGCCGAGATGTGGTAACCCCTTCTCTTAGACCAAGACACCCGGGACAGACGAGGGTTATAAGTGGCCTAGTGCGGGGAGATGCCTGTATGAGTTGGCAGAAACGGGTCGTTACTCGCTGATGGTACCTTCGTGACTGGCCCGGCCCAGAGCGCCTTGGTTCCCACTTGTTTACCTGCAGGGGTCGGTCCGTCCACTGGACGACAATCGATAGGCAGAGAAAGCCTGTTCCAACCCAACTGTACGAATGAATACTCGTGGCCGTAACAATAGAGGTGCGATTGTTTGCCCTGCCGTTTGTCTCTCCCGCCGGGCAGGCCCCGTCAGGTACCGTTTCGCGGGCTTGTCACTCGCGACCGAGTAACGCAGCTAGCGAGCTCCTTCCTTGCTTACTCTTGCCATCTGGTGCCTTGCAACCATTGGCAGGGACGCTTGTTAGCCCATCGTGAGCTGCTTCAATGAGATCATGCTCATTTCCGCGCTGTCACATTGGTCTCCGTGTACCTCGGATCTAGTGCAGTGGTCATGACCTCTCGTGACAGAAGTTCTAGGGCAGAGGAAACGGTCTTTGACTCGTATAGGGCAGATTGGCAGCGCCATGACAGCTCTTGCGCTGGCTTCTGGCACCACGACGAGATCTCGGCAGGTGTCAGTCCGTGGGTTCCGCAACTTTGACGGCATCAAGTGTGCAAGTGAGCCCGACCGGCGGGATGGGACTCCGCGGCACCCAGGAGGGGTCATCGCCAAGTAGGCCGTGACGTTCTGGCTAGTGACGCCTTTTTAAGATTCAAGGGACTTCTTTTCCGTATGTGCCTTGCATATTGGCGTGGGCCAGTCTTTCGTACAAGGGTCGTTCGTGTAGAGGGAAAAAAGAAAGATGAGCAGTATTCAGCTTCATCTGGCGAGCCGAGTACCAACGATAGCTGCACTTGGGGAAATCGGGTGGTTGGGAACCGGGGCAACTGGGTCGTAGTGCTATTTGAAGTGACAGAGCGTGTAAGACCAAGAGGGCAGTGAGCCAAGCTTTAGGAAGGATTCAAGTGGATGTGATTGAGGAAAACGCACCGCCACAACGCTCAATCGAGTGGATCAGCTTCATTGGCTAAGTAGAGCTTTGGTGGGTCATTGGAGCTGCCACATGTGGCTTATGTAGAAATGGACCTCAAGCCAATCATATGCCATGAGCCTGACGCTGTGACTTGAGCAAGGAAGTGACCCAAAAACTGGGCGGGCGCGGCTGCGGGCCTGCGGCTGCGGCTTGAGAGCATTACGTTCGTCAGACAGCTTCCCGCCGCAACGACCTGCGACCCTCAGCACCGCCGAATCCATCCACACCGTCCATCTCCAAACCCCCCCTCTCGGCGACATAGGTGCATCTCGAATTCAAAAAGCCGCCCGGGTCGCTACTTCCCTCGACTCGCCGCCATGTCTCTCGATCCTCCCACCTACCTGGCCTCGCTGCAGAACAACATCCGCCAGCGGCCAATCCCCTGGGATGGCGCTGTTAGAGCAGGCACCATCACAGAGGACCACCTGGCCCGCATCCGCGCTGTTGATAAGGCGAAGAAGCCCGAAGCTCGGAAGGAGATTGTAGAAGGAGATCTCGATGGCTACCGCTCCCTCTTTGTTGGTGAATCCGGAAAGCCCTCGGTGATCGAGTCCGCAGGCAAGCAAGCCAATGTCGTCCAGTATATCCTCGTCCTCTTGGCGGACCTCTTGCCCAGTACGTTCTATACCATTCCCCATTGATTCGCCAGCCTATGACTTTGGCTAGACTCTCCCTATCCTGCCCTAATTGTCCTTAAGATTAATATATCTTGACGATCGATTCATATGCCTCAATCCCGCTAATGCTGTCGTCTTCCCAAATAGGTGTACCGTCACTCTCGAAGGCTATTTTCAAAAACACCGACCCCTACAAGCACTTTCTACCTTTGCTCGCTCACTCGAATAATACCGAGGACCCTATCCCCTTGCTCACATCGACGGCTCTAACCAAGCTCATGTCGCTCTCATTGAACGAATCGCAGGCGACCCGAAACGCCATTCCCGTGCTCCTCTCCTACCTATCTGGCCTCGCGAAGAGTTCTGATGCAGGCCTTCAGGATATCGCGGTCCAGGAATACTCCTCCATTCTCTACGGACACGCCGCGAGACAACAATTCTGGAACCAAAGAAGCGAGACGATTGCGCCTCTGATTGACATCCTCAGAACAGCAGCTGGCATTGGCAGCAACGGCAGCTCCTCGGCAAGCATATGGAGCGGAACCGCGCCCACAAGAAACGCCGGATTTGAGGGTTCGCTCGGCGGCGGTGTTGGTTTGCAATTGCTATACCATGTACTACTGGTCATCTGGCAAATGAGCTTCGAAGCCGAAGATATTGGTGACGAGCTTAACGAGTAAGTACACTCTAGTCGTATGGCTTTCACAAACTAATCATGTTCAGCGAGTACGATATTGTCTTGCTGTACACCCAGCTTTTGCGCCTCTCTCCCAAGGAGAAGACGACCCGATTGGTTGTTTCTACCCTTTTCAACTTGCTCAGCAAGAATCAGAAATCACTCCTCCCTACTGCAGTCCTTGCGCGACTACCTGCGCTCCTTGACAACCTGAGCGGCCGCCACCTGACAGACCCTGACCTACTCGAAGACGCACAAAGTCTCAAGGAACTTCTCGAGGAGTACACCAAGACAAAGACAACCTTTGACGAGTACGTCGCTGAGGTCGAGTCTGGTCACCTCCGGTGGTCACCGCCTCACAGAAGCCAGGTTTTCTGGGCCGAGAATGCGCGCAAGATTTTGGAGCACGAGAACGGAGCTATTGCGCGCCAGCTCGCCGAGATTATGAAGAAGCCGTGGGAGAACGACAAGGCAGTCCTGGCCATTGCATGCAACGATGTTGGGGCCTTGGTTAAGGAGGTGCCTGAGATGAGATACAAGCTGGAGAAGCTTGGTCTCAAGACCAGAGTTATGGAGCTAATGGGAGAGTCGGACGAAAATGTCCGTTGGGAGAGTTTGAAGGCATTGGGTGGCTGGTTGAAGTACAGCTTTGACAACTAAATTTGTTTGCGGAGCAAGATCAAACAGTATGGCTATTGGCTCACGCTCTGTGTATGTATAAACGGGGGATAGCATTACCCAGGCAGTTTAGAGTGGACCAGGAGTAGGTCGTTCCCGCATATTCCATTGTTTTTTTGTTGATCAACGCTCTCGGCCGAAATCGCGATGTGTGCCCACAGATATCTCGAGTCTGTGGATGGAACACGCCATACGGTGATGATCAGTCGAGTAGGACACTGGCACTTTGACGCGGAGCCAAGGCACAAACTACACCATTGATGAGCATCGTGGGATGTTTCTTTTGGTCCCGGGGAGGGTGATGGAGGCGTACGATGTGCGGATACAGGTGACCGCAAATCCGCGGCGGCGGATAATCACCCGAGGCGGCGAGGCCCGCCGGCCATCTACATAGACATACGCAGTAAGGTGCTTTACCTTAGTACTGGCAACGTCAGGGGTCAATTCGGCCCCTCGTCTCTTGAATTTTCCAGCTAGCCAGCCCAATGGGAAGGGTGGAGCTATGCTTAGGTAGGGAGGTACCTAAAATAAGGGGTGCGTTATGTACTCCGGAGCTTATCATACGGGCGGTACGTGCCCGGCGGGGTTGACGTTTGGCGTGGGGTGGCGCGACTGCGACCCCTCAATTATTAGTGATTCTAGATCCCAGAATATCCCAGAATGTGGGAAGATCCCAACAGAAACTCCACCTGAAAGAGCTCTCGTGGTTCAGGGTCCATAGCTTACCACAGCTTCCGGTCGCATGTCCGATCGTGTACCCTCCAACCCTTTTCCAAACGCCGAAGAGCCGTTCAGTGCCCACGAACAAAACCAGACACACCCGCTCTCGCATCCGCCGCCCACGCACACCTCTCTCTATTTTTCCCTTCTCAAACCACCACAAAAGAGACACACACAAACACAAACGAAGCACAGCTTTCTCTCTCTCTGATTGCACTCGTTGCCTACCTACTTGCACAATGGCGCCCAAGGCAATCATAGCCCCGTCGATTCTCGCGGCCGACTTTGGCCACTTTGGCCATGCGTGCTCCAAGACCATAGAGCAAGGCGCTGACTGGCTTCACGTCGATATCATGTACGGAGACCATACCCCGCTAGAAAAAAATCAGCACACAAGCATCTTGCGACCGCTTTTTTGGAAAGCCGATC